CATTTTGGCCCTAGCTTTCCAAGGTCAATTAAGACTCAGGACATATGAGAACTTGTACTGTAACATCATGTAACTCATTAGTGTCCCAAATTTTCTGATGAAGGAGATTATGGGGCCAAAGAGGAAAGTGATCGATGATGTAGAGCGTGCCTAAGGAGAGTCACATGGAGAGAAAACATTCTCTCAGGCTTTCACAGAGAGCACATTGGCCAAGCAATGGCTGTGACTCATCCACGTGACTGACACTGACAAAAGATGTACAATCTGAGGTACAGGATCTCAGGATAAATTCTGAGGGGATTTGACTGACCTTATCAGATCCAAAAGCTACAGCTCTCGTTGCATAGGTCTTGCTTTATCTTGTCTTAACCATCCAGCAGAAAAGTATAAAAACAAAGTATAAGAAGTAAAGCCATGCTGTTATGTTGAGCTGTAGGGGACTCTTGTCAACAATTTCTGACACTACCAGTGAAGCAGAAGACCCAACACTATTATGGACTACTGGACTCTTTTAGAATACTTTGCTGAGTTAACACACCTATAATATTCAAATGACAGAACTAAATGAAAAAGGGGATACAGATGAATGTCCATTTTGTATCTGTGGATTCAAAATGGTTAGGATAAATATATAGTTACATTCTCTTAATGAATAGAGGGATTTGTCCTAATGGCGTTTGTAAATAGGATATCATGTCTGCATCTTGTACAGCAAATAACCACTAGGAAGAGAGTATGCAATGTGTTAATTATTGAAACTGCCCTACCAATTTGATTTGAAACTGTCTCATTGTTATTTGTTTCTCAATAAAATTATGGGGAAAAAAAAGGCAAGAGTAAGTTGTCCTCCCAAGGCCATGAAGGTTTAATTCAGAGACTCTAACATTTATTTATTTATTTATTTATTTCCTGTATTTAGGGCAGGGTCTACAGGGTCTCACTACATAGATAGGACTCATAGTGATTCTCCTGTTTTCAGCCTCCCAAGTGCTCGGATTACAGGTGCGTGCCACTACGCCCAGTCTCAATCGCTGTCTCAGCACAGCCTGGGAGCGGGGCTGGCATGCAAGCTGGGGATCTAACACTGGCTGCTGTGCTCTGCCTAAACAGGTGCTTTAGTCCGGTAAGCTATCAGGCCGGCCTAAGACTGACTTTAAAGTGAGTCAAACAAGACCTTCCAGATTGAAAGTTAATTTTAAAATGGAAGGGAAGGAGGCAGTTCAATAACATGCTGCTGACACAATACAATTTTAGGGTATTCTACAGTAAACAACTCAAATTCCAGGAAGAGAAAGGGTAACAATGACAACAAAGGGACATGGGAGAGCATGGAAAACATGCAAGAGTTTACTAAATGTATGATGCTGTTTTCTCAGATTCTCATCCTACATGCCCCTCATAGCACAAACATCTTATTCAAGATGATCATAATGTTTAACTGTCTTTAATGCAATTCGGACCAATAAGTACAAATCCTTGCATTAGTGCATTCTGTACTCTGGATAGGTCCAAGGATTCAAGGCTGTTTGCACAACTGTGCCACTGCTGGGAAGTGGTAGAACCATTAAGAGGTAAAGCAGAAAGAAATAGGTCATTGGGAGGAAGAGGGAGGTTTACACTCTGAAGGAATACTACATTGGAACCCCAAATCCTTTTCCTTTTTGCTAGTCAGACACCATGAAGTGAACAGATATCCTCTACCACTGGTACTTCCTAGAGAATCAAGAGACCCTGCACTGAAACCTCAAGTCAAAGTAAATCTTTTTTCCACATGGGTTGATTACCACAGGTATTTTGTCATACTAATGGAAAGCCGACAGCACAGTACTCAATTGAAGAAAGTACGATCTTTTCATTCTTTACTACTGGAGATACTACTGAGTAAATGAATCTTTAAATTCATGTATAAATGCTCTGGTCTGTATTATAACTTATAGGTAACTTAGTAATTTAGAATATTTATTATTTTTGCTCATCGCTAACTACGAGTTAATCCTCTGATAAGATGCAACACCAATAACCTGTAAAATAACACTGACTGCAAATAAAAAAAATATTCTAATTTCAAATTCTAGTCAGGCTCAGGATGCTGTGGTTTGATCCCCAGATCCTCATGTCTTATCAGATCTGCCCTTAAGGCCTCCCGAGACAGCCAAAAAAAAAAAAAAAAAAAAATCAAATTCTAATTTTGGTCTTGTTAGAGACAGGTTTTCAATATGCATTTCAGGCTGGCCTTGAGCTTAGTTTGCAGCCCACATTGGCCTCGAAGTGGCAGTGATTCCTCCTACCTCAGCTTCCCTCACACTAGGATTATAAGAGTGCACCACCCTGCCAATCAAAAATTTTAAATTATGCTTAAAATTAAATCATAATTTTATAATAGGTAAACAAAGAAATAGCAGTTAATACTTTTTTAAAGGTGTGATTGTCTCAAGTTATTCTACAAGATTCTGCCATATGTACCAGTAAGCAGGAGACAGAAGGAAGAGCAAAGCCAAAGCTGTGTCTTCAATCACAAATAAACATAATATGCTGGTTAAAATTTTAAAATAAAATTATGTACTGTGTTATTCAAGTGTCTTGTAAAAGCCACAAATGTCTCATTAGGTCAACCATAAGAATATAGCACAGATATTATCTACTGTGACTCACTCCAAGAATGAAGACATTTTTAAAACAAAAAGAAAACAGTGAGGGCTGGTGAGATGGCTCAGTGGTCTAAAGCACCTACTTAGAACAAGCTTAGCAAAGCACAGGGACCACGGTTCAATCCCCCAGCACCACATGCCAGCCAGCCCCGCCCCCTGGTGGGCTGAGCTGGCCACACACACACACACACACACACACACACACACACAAATAAATAAATAAAATTTTAAAAAGAAAACAGTGAGCTGTGGGGAAATATTAATTATCATAACTTGTATGACAGTGGAATATCCAAAGGAAAATAGAAGGGACACCTGAAGAAATAATACGAAAACTACAAATATGGGGAAAATAGTTAAGTCCACATATCTGAGAACTTCAACTAATTCCAAGACACAGAAAACTACCTAAATGCAATGCATTATCAAACTGCTAATCATTAAAAATCAATGGTGGGCCGGGGAGATAGCTCAGTAGAATAAGTGCTTGCCTGGCAAGCACAGGGTCCTGAGTTCAATCCCCAGTACTGAAAAAAAAAAAAAAAAAATGGTGGGTCAGCCAGATAGTTTAGCATACTAAAGTGCCTGCTTAGGCAGGCTCAGTGACCAGGTTCAATGCTCAGCATGCTGAGATGCAACTGAGACTGGGCAAATGAGACTGGGCAACTGAGACTGGGCGTGGTGGCGCATGCCTGTAATCCCAGTGCTTGGGAGGCTGAAAACTGAAGAATCACTATGAGTCGGATCTGTGTAGTGAGACCGTGTAGACCTGGTACTAAATACAGAGGGGGAAAATGGTAAGGAGAAAGTTTGAAAAAATTTGTAAAAATATTTTTAAAGAATGTCTTATGTACTAAAACACAAGGATAAGGATGAA